GATGAAAATGTTTTGGAAACAGAGGTGCTGGTAGCACAACATTGTAAATGTGCTTAATGCCTTGAATAGTAAACTTTAAAATGGTTAATTTTATGGTATGTGAATTTTACCTCAATTTAAAAAAAAAATAGTTAAGACTGGTGTTGGCTGCCTGAGTGGGAATCTTTGCTACACCACTGCTGTCTTAATGGGTAAGTGTTACTGGGTAAATTCTTAGCCTCTCTGGCTTCAGCTTACTCATCTGTAAAATGTGCCTAATAAGAACAGTACCTCACAGAGGCACTAAACAGGAGTAAACATGAGAGGTGCTCAGCTGGCATACAAAAGTGGTCAAAAAGTATTAGTTATTATTATTGGAGCTGCTGCCAAAGCTATGAGGTCTAAAGATCTTTAACTGAAAATACGGTTTGAGTCCCTCATCAAAAATAGATTTCTTGTCCTGACCAATAGTGGTTCCTTTGAATCTTGAGACAAAATAGTAGTGAGAACAATCACACAGCAATAGCAAAATGTTTCATTTCAATATCACTTTATAGTTTGTACAATGGCTCTACCCATCTTATTTCACCCAATAGGCACTAAATATCTTTGATCACAGAGAAGAGGCTTACCACACATACGCCCTCTCAGCACTGAGCCCGGTCTACAGAAGAGGAAAGCCTTTTCTGTTTCTAATGAATTGGTGTCAGCTACGAGCATTTCGGACGCAAGCTGAAAGGAATACATGGGCTCTTTATTGAGGGTCCTTTTCAGTCGATTTGTGATAGTTTCCAATGTCTTAATGAGTCGTTGCTGATTTTCCAATTCAAGGGTATCGTTTCTTTCATCGGGTAATGGCACACTAGCTGAGATCAAAACCAAACAAAATAAAACACAACACAAACACGTGGTGTTTCAGGAAGTCATTTGTAGTTAGTTTTTACCAAATAGAAATGGCATGTTAAAAAATCTTTCAGGAAAAATTAATTCAAAATAAATTCAACCGCTACTCACTGAACAACCAAGTAAGTACATGGATAATATTAAGAACAATACAATTTGTCTTAATCGTTCTTTCGGGTGCTGGATCTACATCCCCTTTTGGGGAGTTCTTCATTACAGCTTATTAAATTCCTGTAAGTTCTTGCATTTTAAAAACATGCTTTAGTTCGTTATGCCAAGATGGGAACAAAGAAGGGTGTTTGTTGCCGTGAGAACCATAAAATACATTTGTGATATTAATAGCAAAAAATGACAAGACTGAGTTCATTGTACTGTCCCTAATTCTCAGTGCCAGAGTCATTTCCTAATAATGATAACAAACAGGAGATTTGAGAAATGGATTTCCAGCCCAGAATTTCACCTAATATTACTTTTTCATACAGACAGTTTATCCTTACCTGTGATGTTAAAAATCAGCTTAATTTTGTGGTCAGACAATGGGGCACTTCTTTTAATTCGTGAAGATCTGGCTTTGCCGATGCTTGTGGGGGTTTCTTGCACAGCGTCCAAGAAGTCATCGTAAGAGTAATCCAGCCTATTAGCTGCGCCCCAGCCACCTGGTCCTGGACAGGTGGGGCAGAGAAATAAAGGATCGTACAGTTGCATCTTCACCAGCGTTTATGTCCTAACGTTAAACCACAATTAAATTGCACTTGACCGTTTCTTCAATTGCCTATAATGTACTGCACACAGGGTTTGGTCTACAATCTTATACTGTAATTTTTGGGCGCTTCATATTTAATTTAGATTTCCAATGAATTACACTAAAACAAGAAAGAAAAGTCTGTATGGAGCTACCTAAGCATTTATACCGTTCTATCTTTGAGTTAATAGTTGATACTTTAGCTTTAGAGGTAAATAGGTGGTGGGTCTAGAATTCTAATCAATTTCTATTTCCTTTCAGGGCTTGCTCCAGTTGTTTTTTTTTTAATATTGTTGTTATAAACTCAATGCACATTAACAGATTTCCTTGTGTGAAGATTATTCAAGATACCTGCATCATATTGTAAAGGTGGAGGCAGTTTTCAAAGGCAACATATAGATTAAATGTTACATAATGCAACTACAATGGAGACAACATGGATCTGTGGGATTCTCTAGATACCCTTGATGAGAAGGGTTGAGCTCATTGTGAGCTCATTGTGATTAACTGCATGGCTTCAGACTGGCTTCTCTATAGGTATGCCGCATGGTTGTATAATCTTAGCCAAGTTACTCCCACTTTTCTGAACCTTAGTTTCTTCATATGTAAATTGAGATAATGATTCTTATCTCATAGGTTTGTCTGGAATAAATGAGACAATATATATAAACCATCTATTAATAGCTCAGTATTTGACTTATTATACTATAAAACCTCAGTAAACAATATTAGTACTCTTCTGACCATATTGTTGCTTTGTTATGTGCTTTAAACAATAAATTATATTTATGCAGGCCTGTCTACTTAACTGTTTTCTTGAGGATTTTGCCTTTATTTATGCTTTTGACTATTAAAATTAACTGGGATTAATATTATTATCTTTTCACTTAAACATTTGCCTCAAAAGCATAATGTAGCTGTTATAGAAAAAAATGAGCAAAGAAAAAAT